CTGTTACAACCAAATTTCCCCTTGTGGGACAATTACAGGATTATTCTATTCTATTCTAAAACACCTGCATTCTTAGCAAAACCTCTCTGAAATTGATGTCCACCCTGCTAAAATTTAATCTCCCTCTCCTAAACATTGAGAGTTTAGAAAACAGTTCTTTATGCATCTCTAATCAGACAAAACTGTCTTTAGAGGTTTTTTCATAGTGTTTAAATGAGCATAAAATGTCCTCTTTACTTTTTACCAGGACGTCAGCAAGACAGAAAATTACTCTTTATGCTTTCCTTCTTCTTCTTTTTATACAGTAATAGCTCGTCATAGTTTCCTTGGTGACAAGTAACATGGTAACCTTGTATATTAGAATGAGTACTTGATATTATGAGTAGTTGTGCATGGGCAGCATTAACATGCTCGTGTGCTATTAAAGGAGAGAACTGTCTTCAAATGTAAGGGAATTAGCTAAAATGGCACGTTTCAGACAGTGGAGGAAGTGAGGGGATGCACAATGACCACAGAACTTTAATTGCAGTTTGACCAAAATGTGCACTTGTATTTTAAATGTTAAAATCTATAAGTCAGTACAATTACATCCCATAATAGCTTGTTTTTATGCGGTAATATCACTACTGACAACCACTTCTGTGGCTTCTTAAGTGCCGGCTGTAGATGATGTGGTTGCTAGGTTTTAATAGGAGAGATAAGAGTCACTGTTCTCTGTCTACTTAACATTTCTTGCCTCGCTCTCATCCCCCACACCCCCACCCCTTCCTCTTGCTTAACTAAAAAAAGAAAGAAAAAGTTTAATAAAATGGTGGAGCATCAGAATTCTCTAGGTTTACTTTATGTCCACACACTGGTATGTCCATAGGTTTGTCCAACAGCTTTGGTTTCCCTGGTGCTTTTTAACTTCAAAATACTGTAACAGAGTTTCTCTTTGAGTGGGTGAGGAAAGTGCAGCCTGGACATTTGTTTTCTATTTATACTGTGCAATCATCACTGTGCACAGCGGTAGGGTAGTAAATGCAATTAACTAAGTGGGATTTAAAGGTTAAACGCCTAAAAACAGAGACTGGGTCCTTGCGCTGTCGCAGATCAGACGCTCTGTATTATAATGTGCTGATTTGCATCCATTCTACATCACATGAAACATTATGTGGATCGGTCTGGTTATCCACCATCATTATAACTTTTCGCATTATTTCTTATTTTAGGGCTGCCACGATTAGTCAACTAGTAACAATTACTTCGATGACTAATTTAATTGTCAATGCCTTGTTTGAAGCTTTGTAAGGTCCTGAAAGACGCAGGAATAAGTAGTAGGATTTACAGTGGGATGCAAAAGTTTGGGCAATCTTGTTAATAGTCATTATTTTCCTGTATAAATCGTTGGTTGTAACAATAAAAAATGTCAGTTAAATATATCATATAGGAGACACACACAGTGATATTTGAGAAAGGAAATGAAGTTTATTGGATTTGCATATCAATCAATCAATCAATCAATCAA